GGCCCCCCCCCCCCCCCGGGCCAGCGGGCCTCTGTGGCTGGCGTGCCGCTGAGTATGAGCTGAAGTAATGGTTTTGAAAGGACAAGACAAGTCAGACATGGTGCTGTGCTGACGTGTTTACATGAAGGGTGGTCGGCGGGGTTAGGCCAGCCTGCAAAGACTGTGGAGACTTGGGTTTGAACCCTTTTAGCTTTTTGCATGTTTTCCCTATACAGCATATGTCGCTTTTTAAGTTTACCTGATCTTTTCAAAAGATCTTTTGTGAGATGAGGCACAGAGCCTTACAGGGTCTACAGGCTAGAAGCTAAAAATGTCCTACCATATGTGCAATAGCCACCTTTTTGAAGGCAAGCACTTGGCTGGAGACTCCATAGTGGTAGATCACTCTTGTCTAGAAGGGTTTACAGGCATACCAAATAACAGATCCATCTGAATTATTTGCTTGATATGCTGGGAAAGTGATGATAAATCTCCCCCAGTAGGGAACCTGAAAAATCAGAACTCCCATTGTCGGTGTATTTTCAGATACGTTAGAGTATTTGCCTTTGCTGGACTTCATCAAAGATACAAGGAATTTGCGGTAAAGAAAACTGAAAGATTGCAATTGCAACAAAACCTGAAGATTCAGTTGGGACAAACCCAATTCTTTTTCCTAAAATCCCTGTAGTATTGGTTAGTTAAAGTACAAGTCCCAAAGGTTTGTAGGATTTTTGGTACTTAAGTTTCCCGTCTTGTTCTTTTGTGCAGTGCTTTTGATTTAAGGTTTCAAATCCTTTGGTTTTTATAATTCACACTGTGATCTTGCCTCTACAACAGTTACAATTGCTTCGTGTTAAAGTATAATTAATTTGTTTTCTTTTGAAAATGTCAAATTAAAACAAGTTAATTCACCTCAAGGGACATCTTGGCAATAGAAATAATACATTTTTTAGCAATAAGCAAGTAAACCCAAAACCTAGTTTCTAATTTACTGTTTTTGTCTGCTAGGTCTCTGTTCCATGTAAGAAAAATTACAGACTACAAATATGGGAAAGAAACGCATCAAAGGCAAAACTGCGCAGTCTGATGAGTCTCTGGATACGCTGGGTATGTTTTCCTCAGAGAAGTCTGTGACCCTAATGTTTGTTTTAACCTCACAGAGGTCTTGAAAACTCATTAATATTACAAGGCCTTTACACTAGTCACTGACTTTGAAGACTCATTTACAAAGCGTGGGTTTGTATAATTGAAACCAAAGTCCACCAAGAAGCATTAGTGTTGTTATGTCTCTAAATATGCTAGAAAATAATAATCCTGTATTGAAAACTAGGATTATTTCCTGGTTTTCAAGAAACTCGGACTCACAGTTTTTTACTGATACACAGATTGTATTGAATCATATAAAATTCCTCAGAATACAGAGTGTTTGTAGAATTAGCTGCTAAGCTTGTTATGATAGGTTGAAGTAGTATTTTCCTGATGAAGATTTTATTGCAGAACATTCTTGCTTCAGCACAGAAGATTGTGATTAAAATATTTCTGTGAAACCGTTTGTCTTCAGCAAGTAACCTAGTACTGGCCCTGGACACATCAGCGCTGTAGTCATAGTGCTTTTTGGTTAAAACTTATTTCTCTTCCTTGCCTTCTGTTCCTATAGAGAAAATCCCATGTTTTGAATGTTATCCTTCTAGCTGTGCTGGATCTCACTCCTGTGTTGCAGTTTTGTTGTCTTGTTTACCCTGGTTATTCTGGCTCTCGTTTTTGCTCGTGTTGCGTAGCATTCTCTTCTACTGTCTTGTCCACCAGGTCACAGATTGTGTCTTGCCCATCTCTTTTGTTGGTCCTGACCAGGGAAACAAGTTGAGCTATGCTAATCTAGCTGAGAGAGAGAGCACTTATGGTTTTAGCCAGGGTGCTCAATGTGACAGCGTGTTTATTTTAAATTCAAATCTACTGTACTTTGATTTTCTCGTTGTCTTGGTCTTGTGGTAGCTTCTGTCTCCCCTTGCTTTTTAGCTTCTTTTGTCTTTTTTTTTTTTTTTTTTCCCCTGGAAGCAAGATCAATGTCTGCTGTGACTGTTTTTCTCCAGTAAAAAAAACCAGTTATGGTGCAATTGTTGATGGCATCTCACTTCTTTGGCTAAAAATAGGCTATCTTACCCAGACAAAGTCCTGTAAAGCCACAAATGTGAACTAAGACTGATCATTGTGAATATTCCCACTGTATAGTAACAGCCAATATACAAAAGGTTTGTTTAAAAAAGACAATTTCGAAGTTGTAGATGAAGCTTGTGTTTCTTAAAAAGGTTTAAAGAATGCATACAAATATCTGTATTTGGCTCTTACTGGCTGGCATTTGTACTGTGGTAAAACCCTATGATCTTAGACAGAAACAGAACTGTAGCTACAGAACTTTTCACCAGTTTCAGCTCATGACAAGAAAAATTTGCTATCTTGAGGCTGTAATCTTGCATATGGTCCTCAACAAAGATAGATTCAGAGCTGTTAGGCAATAAAAATGTCTGTAGCAAAGGACTTATGACAGCTGAATTATGTAAACAGCTATGTAATTCTTCTCAGTAATAGTTTCACAAAAACGTGATTTATTTTTTCAAACTTAAGTGCATACAGAATTTTTCTTTTAGCATGGATTTGTTTACTCTGCTTTTTTACTTTTGAGGTAACTATTTATACTGTCAGATCTTTGACCCTGTATTTGCAAATTTAGACATTTGTAACTGCAAATAGTGAAGAACTGTAGGCTGATGATGCTAAATGTCTTAGAAACACCGTAAAAAAAAATCAAAATATGTTCAAAATAAAAAAAAAAAATCAAAATATGTTCCTCACTTTTTATTTGGAAGAACTTGAATCAGTTTGCATATGCATTGTCCATCAATTGCAATTTCTCTGCGCATAACTT